GAGCTTATCCTTTCCCTCAAATCAGCTCCATATTCTGTATTTGTTTGCAGTAAGTGTCATCACATTTCCACTCAGTTGCCAGGACAGACACCTGACATTCATCATGGACTCCTCGTTCTTCCATATACCCCACATAAAATCACATTAACATCTGAGTTCTACCCTCTATTTGTTGGATTTGTTCATTTTGCTTGTTGAAAGTTTTCAGCTATTGCTTGGTAAAGCTGCTATGAACATTCTTATACATTTTGGTGAAGAAATAAAAGCATTTCTGAGACTGTGTAAATAAGAGTGGAATATCTGGATAATAAAACTGCCATCTATTTGGATTTAGTAGATACTGGCAGATTTCCAAAGCAATTGTACCAAATTAACTCTTTCCAACAGTGTATGGGAATTCCAGTGCTCTACATATTGTCCAACATTTGGTATCAGCAGTCCTTTTAATTTTTGCCTTGCTAATAGATATGGAATAATATCACCTGTGGTTTTAGTTGTATTTTCCCCCAAATGACTACTTAATTACTTTTAAGTGAGTCAACTCCCACTCCCCGATCCACTGTTGCAGACACAGCAGAGGCTCTCCTTGCTGGGGGCTGGAGTGAGTGCACTTGGAGATAGCCTTTCCAGGACATTTCACATCAACTTCACCCCTGTTTAAAGTGAGCCTGTACCACTCAGGCATGCATGAAAGGCAGGGCCTATCTTTCTTTCCCTGCAGAAAGCAGCAGGGTCCCAGCAATAGAGGGAAGACAAGTCACAGAGATGTCTGCTCTGGACTGGAGGAAGAGCCTCTGCCCCAAGCCCATTTCAGAGGTAGCTGCCAGAGGGGCATTCCTCCAGATTTTAGTTGCATTGCAGCTGGGAGCCAGAAGACAATGGCTATATGAACTGAAGGTTGTAAGCTCTGCAACAGGGGGATGATAGGAAAGGGGATTACATTCCTGCCTGCTTATGGCAAGTTGCTTGTGAGGCCCCCTGCGTTACCCCTTTCCCAGAGACATCAGTGCATCCCAGTACAAAATCTCCTCACCACTCCCCCACACCATGACGGTGGGTGCTTCCACTCATTACCAGCCTACCTGAGGATGAGCCAGATCTTAACCTTAAGGACCACCTACTTGACTGAAGATTGAACTGTACCACCAAACAAAAAATTTCTGTCAGAAGGGCATAGTGCTAGTGTCCAAGATAAGCATCCTGAGACTTCTGCACTCCTAGCCCCACAGAAGACAGTGTGTCAGCTCATATATGTAATGCATCTCTATAACAAGGAGCACTTGAGAAAGCCACTTCACAAAAGCTACCCATAACCAAGGAACCCATACAGAGACTTGGCCCCTGAAAGCATCCAGAAACAAAGTCAAGTGATCATAAAAAAACATATACTCTAGTCACACCCTCAAGGAGAAAAAATGTAACAATTAAAAAGCCTCAATCAAATGACAGTAAATTCAAAATTAAGAAGTAACAGCTCCTTCACATGAGAAGGACTCAGTACAAGAACTCCAGCATTACAAAAAGACAAGAGTATTTTCACACCTCCAGAAGACCACACTAGCTTTTGGGCAATGGATTCTAACCAAAATGAAAATTGTGAAATGACAGATAAAGAATTCTAAGTATGGATTGTAAGATAATTCAATGATATCCAAGAGAAAGGTGAAAAATAACATAAGAAAACAGAAAAACAATTCAGGATATTAAAGACAAGATCGCCACATTAAAAAAAAAAAAAAGAACTTCTAGAAATAAAATTTTCACTAAAGGAATTTCAAAACAGATAAAAGCTTTCACAATAGACTAGACCAAGCAGAAGAAAGAATTTCAGATCTTGAAGACTGTTCTTATGAATTAACCCAGTCAGATAAAAATAAAGAAAAAATTTTAAAAAGAAACAAAGCCCTTGAGAAATATGAGATTACATCAAGTGACCATGTCTTATATGCATTCCTGAGAGATAAGAAAAAATGAGAAATTTGGAAAACATATTTGAGAGAATAATTCAGGAAAATTTTCCTGACCTTGCTAGAGAGGTAGACATCCAGACAAAAGAAATTCACATAATGCCCATGAAATATCATAAAGACAAACATCACCAAGGCATACAGTCATCAGATTATCCAAAGTCAATGATAAAAAATCTTAAAGGCAGCTACAGAAAAGGGTCAAATAATGGTCAAATCACTTGTAAAGAGAATCCCATCAAACTAACAACAGACTTCTCAGCAGAAGCCTTACAAGCCAGAAGAAATTAGGGGCCTGTTTTTAGCCTCCATAAAGAATTTTAAAAAAATGTCAGTCAAGAATTTTATATCCTGCCCACCTAAGCTTCATAAATAAAGAAGAAATAAAGTATTTCACAGACAAGCAAACACTAAGGGAATTCATCACCTCTAGATCAGCCCTGCAAGAAATGCTCAAAGGAGTTCTAAACATGGAAGCAAAAGGATAATACTTGCTACCATAAAAACATACATAAGAACAAATTTCACAATTCCTGTAAAGCAATTACACAGTTGAGACTAAAAAGTAACTAGCTAATGAAACTATTACAGGAACCAAACTTCACTATCAATATTAATCTTAAACATAAATAGCATAAGTATTCCACTTAACAGGTATAGATTCACAAATTAGATTTTTTTTAAAAAATCAACCATCTGGTGCCTACAAAAGACTCATTTAACATGTAGACATCACAAGCTCAAAGTGAATGGTTGGAAAATATATATCATGCAAATGGAAAACAAGGAAGAGCAGTAGTTGCTATTCTTATATCAGATAAAACAAACTTCAAACCACCAACAGTAAAAAAGACAAAGACAGGTATTGTCTAATGATAAAGGATTTACTCAACAAGAAGACTTAACTACCCTAAATATATAAACACCCAACACCTGAGCACTCAGATTTATAAAACAAATACTACTAGACCTAAAGAGATACACAGCCATATAGTAATAGTGGGGGACTTCAACACTTCACTAACTGTACTACACAAATAATCAAGACAGAAAACTAATAAGGAAACTGAACTTCAACTGGACTCTTGACTAAATGGACTTAATAAACATCTATAGAACATTCTACCCAACAACTATAGAATACATATTTTTCTCATCTGTGCATGTAACATTCTCTAAAATTGGCTGCATGCTTGGACATAAAGCAAATCTCAACAAATTTCTTAAAAATGAAATCACATGAAGTAACTTCTCAGACCACAGTGGAATAAAATTAGAAATCAATACTGACAGTATCTCTCAAAACCATACAAGTATAAGGAGACTAAACAACTTGCTCCTGAATGACTTAGGGGTAAACAATAAAATTAAGACAGAAATAAATTTTTTTGAAATTAATGAAAATAGAGACACAAAATACCAAAATCTCTGGAATATAATAAAAGTAGTGTTAAGATGGATGTTTATAGTGTTATATGCCTACAGCAAAAATAAAGCTCTCAGATTAACAACCTAACATCACACATCGAAGAACTAGAAAAACAAACAACAACAAAAAAAAACCTCAAAGCTAGCAGAAGAAAAAAAATAACAAAGATGAGAGAAAAACTAAATGAAATTGAGACCAAAAAAATACAAAGGATTAATGACTATAAGTCTATAAAAATCAGAACAAAAAGATCAATATCAAGAATATATAAGCAACTCAAACAATTCAACAAGAAAAAACCAAATAACCCCATTAAAAAGTAGGCAAAGGATGTGAACCTTCAGAAGTTTCTCAAAAGAAGACATACAAGTGGCCAATAAATATACAAAAAATGCTCAGAATCACTAATTATCAAAGAAAAATAATTAAAGTCATAGTAAAATACTATCTCACATCAGTTAGAGTGCCTATTATTAAAAAGTTGAACAGGTGTTGGCACGGATGTGGAGTAAAAGGAATGCATATTCACTGTTGATGGGACTATAAATTAGTTCAATCTCTATTGAAAACAGTATGGCGATTTCTCAAAGAAGTAAAAATAAAACTACCATTCAACCCAGCAACCTTACTATTGGGTGTCTATGCAAAGAAAAAGAAATAGTTTTGTCAAAAAGACCCCTGCACTCAAATGTTTATTGCAGCACTGTTCATAACAGCAAAGTAATGAAATCAACCCACATGTCCATCAATGGTACATTGAATAAAGAGAACATAGTACATATACACTATAGAATACTATGCAGCCATAGCAAAGAATAAAATTACAGCCTTTACAGAAACATGAATGGAGCTAGAGACCATTATCCTAAGTGAAATAACTCAGAAAGAGAAAATAAAATATGATACGGTTTGACTCTGTGTCCCCACCCAAATCTCATCTCTAATTGTAATCCCCATTTTTCCCACATGTCAAGGGAGGGATCTGGTTGGAGGTGATCGGATCATGGAGGCAGTTTCCTCAATGCTTTTCTTGTGATAGTGTTCTCATGAGATCTGATGGCTTTATAAGTGTTTGACAGTTCCTCCTTCACACATGCTCCTCTTTCTCTGCTGCTACCTCTTCCACCATGATTGTAAGTTTTCTGAGGCCTCCCCAGCCCTGTGGAATTGCAAGTTAATTAACCCTCTTTCCTTCATAAATTACCCAGTCTCAGTTATTTCTTTATAGCAGTGTGAGAACAGACTAATACAAAGTCCAAATAAAAAATATGTTCTCACTTATAAGTTGGAGCTAAACAATGGGTATACATCGACCTAAAAATGGAAATAATAGACACTAGGGATTCCAATAGAGGAAAGGCTAGAAGGGGCTGAGGGTTGAAAAATTACCTATTGAGTACAATGTTCACTATTTGGTGATGGTTCGCTAGAAACCCAAACCTCACCATTATGCAATATATATTTAACAAACATGTACATGTACCCTCTGAGCCTAAAATAAAATAACAACAAAAAATATGGAACAAATCTTAATTTCCCCCATTCTCCTGATTATGAACTGGACACAGTGGCTCACCTCCAAAAGATAAAGCATGTAAACTTACATTGAAGAAGTGGCAAACATCAGCTTCTCATGTGGAAAGCAGGTGTCCCCTGACATATGGCAAGAAGAGTACCTCACTTTTTGGTATTCTTCTCAAATCCATGACCACCATCTAATCATGAGAAAAACATCAGATAAACCCCAACTGAAGGACATTCTACAAAACACCAGTACTCCTAAAATCTTTCAAGGTTGTGAAAAAGAGAGAAAGACTATTAAACCATCACAGACCAGAGAAGACTAAGGAGACACAAAAATAAAATGCAATGTGGTATCCCAGATTGGATTCTAAAACAGAAAAGAAAAGTAGTGGAAAACTGGTGAAATTTGAATAAAGTATGGAATTCAGTTCATAATGATGTGCCGATGTTGGTTTGTTAATGGTGACAAATATAGCATGGTAATGTAAGATGTTAACAATAGGGGCAACGAGGTGAGGAATTATCTCATTATTTTTATGACTTTTGTAAATATAAAATTATAACAAAATAGGTTATTTAAAAAGATCTTAAAAGATTTAATCAGTTTTCAAAATAAAACAAAAAAATCACCTGTCTAAAACTGATTTTGATTTCACATTTTGATGTTAGTATATATTGTGCTTTGCCTTGTCATTTAAATATTTTTTCAAAGACTTTTAAAATTCTGGAAATATTACTATTTTTAACTTTATACTTACTCTGAATTTCATCTTTGATGAAAATATAAATTTTGTGAACTTAAAATGCATTTAGCTTATTACTTGGGATAGAACACATATAAAAATCTTGATTATAAAGTCTAAAAAATAATTTTTTGGAAAAAAAACTCAAGGGCTTGTGACTTCTTGCTTCTCTGTCTGAGAGCTTTCTCTAATGCTATGGGGGTCTTGCTCAGACAGTGAATGGAACAGCCTGAAGTACTAAGAATTTAATACTTTCAGAGACAATCATCAATTAAGGAGAGTCAAAATATATTTTAAAATATCCAAGCTTCCCTGTCTCAGTATGCGACAATTCTTAGATGTGGACTGCACTAACGAAAATGCATTCAGGTTAATCAACTATTACTAGAAAGAAGAAATAGTTTCAGAAATGCATTAGAGGAAAATAAACTCATCAATCTGCAAATATGCTTTTGGTATAGAAAATTAATTTCCTAAACTTGAACTATGTATTGAAGAAAAATAACCTCATGTGTATGTACAAAGGCAAGGATGGTGGAGGGCGTTTTAGTTAAAGATCTCCTCCAGTGGAACTGAGGCCCAGTTTTCCATGGTGGTAAACTGTTGACTAACACATACTTATTTAGTTTTTCATCCTTTCCTGCCTCAATTTTCTTGTTCCCTCTCTTGTACTTCCTGGGAAAACCACCTAAATATGTTTGCCTGCATCAGAGTCCTTTCCTCAGAACCTGCTTTCAGGGGGGAAACATCATTGTACTATCAAAAGAATGTTCAGGTATGTGTGATAATACTAAAATTCACCCAACTTTGCTTTTTTGCTTATTTTTAGTCATACAAAAGCCATACATTAACACTTTCATTTGTAATTTTGATGGCACATTTTTTAGAATAGGAAGGTGGAACATACTTTATTTAGCAAAATTGTTAGCTAGAGATATAACTTTGTAAATATTTAGGCATATGGTAAGTGAGCTTCCTATCCCAGTCTCCAAAATGTTACAGACAGATTTATCAGCAGTAAACACTAGGTGATGGCCAGGGTTCTGACTAAGCAGTGAGCCTCTTTATCTGTCAACAGGTAGTGGCATCAAGGTTTAAATTACAGCTTGGAGTATTATAAAATATATTTAACTGTAGCTCTTATTAAAGGCATGAGACTAGAAGTCTTAATCTGGTAATTAAAAGCCCCTGAAATATTTTTCTGTGTCATGCTCCCCGGTACTAATGGCAGTGGCTCAGTATTCTTTTCTGTCTCATAGCAAAGACGCCTCTCAATAATTTCACATCTCTCTGTAGCAAGGATGCCCTTATGTCTCTCAGGAATGTGATGGAAGTAACTTTTGAAGAGGTAATGAAGCTCTGGCTTGTTCACTAGATTTTTAACACACTTCCATCAAACCAATGGCTCTTTAAAAGGAAAATGGGCATTCTAGTCTGATTTCTTTTCTTTCTAATAGAAAGAGCTTTATGTTTACAACTTTCTATTTATTCATTCATTATTCTATTCATTCATATTCATTCATTCATATTCTATTCATTCATTATTTTTAAATTTTTATTTTTATTTCCAATTTTTATTTTATGTTCAGGGGTAAATGTGCAGGATGTGCAGGTTTGTTATATAGGCAAATGTGTGCCAAGGCAGTTTGCTGCACAGATTATCCCATCACCTAGATATTGAGCCCAGCATCCATTAGCTATTGTTCCTAATGCTCTCTCTCCTCCCAACTCCCACACTCTGACAGGCCCCAGTGTGTGTTGTTCCCCGCAATGTGTTCATGTGTTCTCATCATTCAGCTCCCACTTGTAAGTGAGAACACGTGGTATTTGGTTTTCTGTTCCTGCGTTAGTTCGCTAAGGATAATGGCTTCCATCTCCATCCATGTAATGGCTTCATAGATTCTTATATTATTATTCCTATTTTAGTCAATGGATTATTGCCCATTATTTATATTATTGTATTCATTGTGGTGCTCTAATTATCCAAGATACATTGAATAGAGCCCCTTCAGGCCAGCTCTGGTATCATTTTTGACATATCCCCATCATTTTTATGGAAACTCCATGCTTTCTTGCTATACAAGATAGTTCAGACTTATTTTGCCTTTTCCATCCCTTGCCCTGGAATTAGCCATTCTTCGGGGATTTAGCCTCCATTTTGTGTAAAATAGTATTTAGTACTAATAAATGAAGAGAAAATTATGGCATTAGATCTCAATTTGTTAATCTTTGTAATAATCATTGATTCAGGCAACAATCATCAATGGATGCTAAAACCGGTGGGTGGAGAGTTTAATAAGAAAGAGGATACTTAAATATAACTTTAAAGTAACTCCCCACAAAACACTTAATAATTGCAAAGAAAAAAAAGGGTGACTTTAAAGGGAAGAACCCTAGTAAACACCATTTTAACCAAGTGATCACAACTAACATTGCCAGTAATGTTTAAAATGACATCATGTGCCTCCTGGTACAATGTGCTAAGGACACAGTATCAGAAGGTATTCTTGCAAAAAATTATAACCTAAATCTAATAATGGGGAAACATTGGACAAACCCAAATTGATAAACATTCTACAAAATTACTTGTCTATAATATAAAAATATATCAAAATCATGAAAGACCAAAAAATAAATCCCAAGGACCTGTTCCAGAAAAAAGTAGACAATCCAGTAACTGAATGCAACCCATGACTGGATTTTGGACCACAATTTTTTTCTATAAAATGCTTAAGTGGGTCGGTGATTGAAATTTCATTAAGTCTCTAAATCAGATATTAATATTTTATGAATGCAATTCTAAGATTTTTATTATTGTACTGTAGTTATATAAGAGAACATGATTTTTCTTAACTAATATACACCAAAGTATTTAGGGGTAAAGGGATTTCATTTCTACAACTTACTCTCTTACTGTTTAAAGAAAATGGTATCTGTTTGTGTTTACATCTGTGTACACCCACACAAGAAGGAGGAGAAAGGGAGAGAGAAAGTAATAAAGCAAATGTGATAAATTGTCAATAATTAGGATTTCTGAGTAGATGGTATACGAGAGTGTTTTATATTATATTTTCAACATTTCTATAAGTTTGAAATTACTTCAAAATAAAAAGTTACAAAAATTAAGCAATACAGTTGTTGTGGGGACTGCATTCTGTGTCAAGAATCCCCAAAAAGGTATGGAAGAACAGATACAAAATCTCATACTTTATATCAGACTCATACTTAGTCTGATACAAGGTCTCAAAGAATAAGCACCATTAACTCAAATGGAGGAGCAGGTCTTTGGCAAAGATGGAAATGGAGGAAATATACCTATAAGCTGTGCAACATAAGAGTATCTTTCCTACAACACATGACAAATACATAGGCTAGATGACACTTGTATTCATGTGTCTTGACCCACAATAAATTTTATGCTTTTTTTCCATTAAAGTAAATTCTCTGCTTGTAACTGAGTTTCAATATTTTTAGTCTCCTGGTCCTATAAGGTTGAAATGTATCTGAATGAAATTTTCATGCAAAAATAAAATACCAGCTTCTTGAATAATTTTTATAGTGTGAACTGAGAGTCAGTGGTTTATAATCACAGTGCATAAAGTATTTTTGTTCATATTGTATAAACAATTCTGTCAGCCTTAGTAACTTTGTGGGACTCTGATAAGCTCCTAGGATACTTAGCAGATAGCCCTCTGCTTTAAGAATTACGCAGGAACCAAGACAGGGTCTGATGAGAATGCATTCAAGTTAATAAGCTGGTATTAGAAAGAAAAATATTTTTGGAAATGCTTCAAAGGAAAATAAACTAATCAATCTGTAAATATGCTCATGGCATAGAAGCTTCATTTCCTATATTAAAGAGAAGCAGTTTTTTTGGGCAAGGAAGGCAAAATCGGGTTTGTTTATTTTGTTTGTTTTGTTTTTTGTTTTTGTTTTGTTTTATTTTGCTTGTTTTTGTTTTTGTTTTTGTTTTGGTGAGACGGAGTTTCGCTCTTGTTGCCCAGGCTGGAGTGCAATGGCGCGATCTTGGCTCACTGCAACCTCCACCTCCCTGGTTCAAGTGATTCTCCTGCCTCAGCCTCCTGAGTAGCTGGGATTACAGGCATGCATACCATACCTGGCTAATTTTGTATTTTTAAGTAGAGATGGGGTTTCTCCATGTTGGTCAGGCTGGTCTCGAACTCTTGGACCTCAGGTGATCTGCCCACCTCAGCCTCCCACAGTGCTGGGATTACAGGCGTGAGCCACAGCAACAGGATGCATATTCCTATTTTCTAAAAGTGTAGGTGGTATTTTCTACTAACAATCATGATTAAAAACTTCATAGTGGTTAGATCATCACTGCTGAAGCCTGGGTAGATACAAGCAGCTTTTAAAGGTGGGGCGGAGAAAGCTCTTAGATCACTTGTACCATTGTGATGTATTTTCAGTTATATTCATTTTGGTGT